ACTGACCATCAAGCGATGCTTAGATCGGTTTTGCCCCCGAGGGAACTCAGGAGGATTTAACCGGCTGTAAATGATTGGCTCCAACTATTCAATAGGATCATTTGGGCTGGAGCTTCTGAAATGACACGGAGACTAACGAGCACTCGGGGCAGGAGAAGTTTAATTTATGTGCGATCCAAGTGACTGGGAAGTGCTATCGAACAGTGGCCCGAAGTGTTCCAAATGGGAAATTTGTATTAATCAACAGACTAAATTAAATCTGGTCCTCCTCGGAGGCAGAGCACGTGTCACGTAAAGGTCGCTGCTGTTTTGGATCGAAGCATTTAAACAGGGATCATTTCAAACGTTTCCTTTGCACCAACAGCCCTGGCTCTTCTGGCTGGGGGGGGGGGATGAGAGGCTGTCCAGGTCTCCCGCAAAAAATACGTCCTGCAGAGAAGACACAGGGAGTTCCCGACTCACAACAGTTCATTTAGTGACTGCTCAAAGTTAACAACGGCACTGGAAAAAGTGACTTACAACCGTTTTTCACGCTTACGACCATCGCAGTCTCCATCCATGGTCACATGATCAAGATTCAGACGCTTGGCAACTGATTCCTATTTATGACGGTTACCATGTTGCAGGGTCACATCATCCGCTTTTGGGACCTCCTGACGAGCAAAGTTGATGCGGGGGGTGTGGGGGGAGAGGGAAGCCGGGTTCCATTAACAACCCTGGGCCTAACTTACCCACTGCTGTGATTCACTTAACAACCGTGGCAAGTGAGGTGGCAAAAACGGGGCAAAACTCACTTAACAAATGTCTCACTTAGCAACAGAAATCTTGAGCTCAATTGTGGTCGTACGTCGAGGACTGCCTGTGTTTTTTTTTTTTAAAAAAAAAAGCTAAAGCTCAGAATGAAGGGAGGTTAGCAGAGGCTAAGAAAAGCCTAAACTGGTTGGTTTTTTTTAGAAACCTCCAAATAAAGAATCGGCTTAATGAAGATGGCAAAATGCGAGCGTGGAACCGAAAAAGGCAGAATGACTCACCTCTTATTTTGCTCATTCTTCTTTTACAAAAAAAATTGCGCTGCGAGGAGCGAGAGAAAGTGGCTGGGTTGATGCTCAGGATCAATAGAGACGGGATCAAGGAACACTGTAGCATTTTATTTTACGTTTTATGGCTCTGGGATCAGACGAGGCCGGGAGAGAACCCCAGGGCCCTCCGGCGGAGTCTTCCTGTTATCGGATCATCTGTGAAGATCCGGAAGAAGCGGGGAAGAAGCTCGGGCGCCAGTAGAGAGCCCCCCTCGCCCTGACCTTCCCAAAGGGCCGGTCCTCGTTCAGTGACGGCCACACTTGAAAACAAGGGGCAACTACCAGAAACCAGCCTGGTGTCAACGCTGCAAATACTGTATATTCTTGCTTTGACAATATGCAGAACTGTCTGGTATTTTTATAGTTAAACCAGGCAACAGGGAAAAAGGGAGGAGAATAAGGATAGCCCGGGAAAAAGAAACCGGAAGTAAATCACATCTCCCAAGTTGATTGGAAGATGTGAACCATGACCCCAAAATAAGGGGGGGGGGGAATGCTTAGAATGTATATGCGTAAAGGAAGAGAAGCCAGACCTAAGCATTTCCACCATGCTGTACTGACATCTCTGTAACCTTAATAAATGCTTTTAGGAGAAAATACGCCTGAAAGTCCTTTTAAGTGTTTCATTAATCAGACACATGACATCATGCTTAGGTCTGGCTTCACCTGGGCTGTTCCAGAAGAGACCTCCTTGCTCTGGCTATTTTTTAAAATTAGGCATGTTTAGTAGATTGGAGAATCCGTGGGTGTGATATACTGTATTGCCATTTCAGCCAAATATTCAACAACATGCGAGGTATTAGTACCACTTTATAAAACCCTGGTGAGGCCACACCTGGAATACTGCAGCCAGTTTTGGTCACCATATCACAAAAAAGATGTTGAGAGTTTGGGAAAAGTTCAGAGAAGAGCAACTAAGATGATGCAAGGCCTGGAGACCAAAACATACAAAGAACGGCTGCAGGACTTGGGTTTGGCTAGTCTAAAAGAAGGACCAGGGGGGACACGATAGCCAGTATTCCAGTATTTGAGGGGCTGCCACAAAGAGGAGGAGGGGGTCAAATTATTCCCCAAAGCACCAGAGGGCAGGACAAGAAACAATGGTTGGAAACTGACTAAAGAGAGAAGCAACCTGGAATTAAGGAGAAACTTCCTGACAGTGAGGACAATCAACCAGTGGAACAGAAGTTGCCTTCAGAAGTCGTGGGAGCTCCATCACTGGAGATTTTTAAGAAGAGACTGGACAGCCGTTTGTCTGGTATAGGTTCTCCTGTTTGAGCAGGGGGCTGGACTAGAAGATCTCCAAGGTCCCTTCCAGCTCTATTCTATTCTAAAATACTCCATAACATGTTGACTATTCAGCTAGTGGGACAGTTTCCCTCCTCCCTTGATGGAGATGAAGGATTAATTCACTCGCCTCCTGCTAGGCAGATGATAGCAGTGTTCCAATATCTCAGGGGCTGCCCCAAAGAAGAGGGAGTCAAGCGATTCTCCAAGGCGCCTGAAGGCAGGACGAGAAGCAATGGGTGGAAACTGATCAAGGAGAGAAGCAACTTAGAACTAAGGAGAAACTTCCTGACAGTTAGAACAATTAACCAGTGGAACAACCTGCCTCCAGAAGCGGTGAATGCTCCAACACTGGAAGTCTTTAAGAAGAGACTGGACAGCTGTTTGTCTGAAATGGTGTAGGGTTCCTGCCTGGGCAGGGGGTTGGACTCGATGACCTCCAAGGTCCCTTCCAACTTTATTATTATTATTATTATTATTATTATTATTATTATTATTATTATTATTATTATTATTATTATTATTATTATTATTATTATTATTATTAATGTAATTTTAAAACCCCTTTAAAACTCCCCACACATATGCATGTGCATACACACCCATCAACCTCATCCATCCATCTGCATACGGACACACACACACACACACACACACACACACACATCAGTGTTGCATTGAATCCAGTTAAGTGAAGAAACCCGAACCCATCTAAGAGATGAGCCAACTTAGCAACAGTTACTTTTCTGGCAATGTTTTAAATAAATGCATTAAGATTCCTTAAACAAGGATGTGGTTCCTGCTCTTTTAACAGCTGCAGCATTGTTATAGGGGAAAAAAAAAGTGCTCTTCAACACCTCAGTAGAATTATTGGGAGGGGGGAAGAAGGAGCCCACCCTTCTATTTTTAACCATACCACAATCTCCTGCCATTTCTCCAAAGAGTAGCTCAAAGGTTTGAGTCCTGATCCAGACTTTCTCCTGCTGATGATTCTGGCATTTCAGCACGCTGAGCCTGTTTTTTCCCCCTTCCTGCACACAAAAGCCACAATTATCCAAGTATTTAATCTTTCTTCTCTATTTCTAAAATCAGAATGCCATTGTATAGAGCCCCACAGCCTCTTTCCAGTTCCTCATGAAAATGGGAATTTTATATTGCAGATGCAAGCAAATGCAGATTATTACAGAGGATTAAAAATAAATAAAAAAAGATTAGGCAAGCTATATCCGGATTGGTGGCCAAAATAAGATAGTGGTATTTGGATCCCAGGATCTTTGCAGACCTGATGAAGTAGCCCTAAGGTACCTGAAATCTAATTTCTGAAATGCAACTTTCATTTATAGCATGCTTTTTCTGCAATCAGCCGCCTACTATTTTTTTAACCTTCGTAAGTTAAAGTGGACATTCACCTGAAGTTGTGTCTTTTGAGAATACTGTAGTAATAATAGAAGAGCGAAGCACAGTCTGAAAAGATTGCTAACGCCCGAATCAGGTCAATAAACATTACCGTGGAAATATTAAGAATTCATAAAATATCTATGGTTCTCAAAACAAACAAACCCTATGAATTGGAATATAGCAATCCAAGGTCAGGATCTCAGATCTTTATTTCAAAAAGTATATTTCCCCAGTACTAGAACATTTGTACATTTATATACACACACACACACATACACACAAAAACCGATTTCTTCGAAAAGAAATGATGCACAGATAATGTCTACGATACACTGATAATGGAAGAACAGTGTTCAGCTAAAATGGTTGATAACAGATGAATTACAAATTACTCAGGGCATCCAGTGCAGGAGGAGGAGGGCATGGAGAGAGATGCCCTCCTGCCAATCTGTGAGGAAAAGATAAAAATGGGCCACCTTCAGAGGCCTCGTTCAGGAGCATCTAGGACAGGGGTAGGCAACCTTGGCTCTTTTATGACTTGTGGACTTCAACTCCCAGAATTCCTCAGCCAGCCAAGGTTGCCTACCCCTGATCTAGGATTTTTACCTCAGCGAAACCTTCTTCCCTCACGTCAAGGAGACATTCGATCTCATGACTGATCATTCCTGAAACTCTTCCCCGTGAACTGTTCAGTTAATGGATATTCTTTCATAATTAAATTGTTTAATGACTCGGCCCCCAGCTTGATTCTGTTTCGTTTTGCATCTTCTGCACACTATCAAAATCACATTTTGCCTATGATCAAAGCCTGCCTCGTATCCATTATTTGGTATAAACGTCCCAATTCCTTCTAGAAACACTCAGGAGAAGAAGCATCCCAACAAAAGAATCCTTGTTGGGGGGGTCTTCACTCACTAATTTTAATTTTAGTGGCAGGGGAGGTGGGGTTATAATATTGAAAAAGAAAACTTCTGAAGACAGAGGTTTTCGTGTTTTGCAAAAGTCCATCATTGTCCCTCCCAATTTTTCCCCCTTTCTCTGGGAATTACCTGGCAGCTCCTGATGACAGGACAGACGGGGTCAGGTGGACACAAAGACAAAAACACTCTGAATTCAGGCACGACACTCTCATACCAACGTTCTGCCCTTAATTTCAGAAGCCGCCGGATTCACATGCTGGCGTTATTTGCTTTCCTAGCAGCCGTTTGAGAAGCGCCGCGGAAGGTGCTCCGGGACTCAGTTCAGGCCATTGGCGGCTAAACAGTCGCACAAGGTTCTCTTCTCCACTTTGAAAAGCAAGGTCTCCGTCTGCAGGAAGCACGTGGGGGGGGGGGGGAGACAGCAAGGGACCAAGCAGGTTAGTCAATTTCTCATCACAGCCTCTCCTTGTTACAAATGCAAACAAACCAAGTGCAAAATAATAATACGGTAATAAAAAAAATGGCACGGAACGTAATTTTCAAATTCTGATTTATGCTTGGTTTAAGACAAATCTTACAGCACAAAAATGTGGCTGTCCTTATTTTAACCACGGTTATCTAACAGTGCAGCAGAACTACCAACTCACTGCTATCTTCCTCTTGGGGTGGGAAGGTGCTTAAAAAGCTACTAAGCGTCCCTCCCGCCAGTCTTCGGTTTCCTACTCCTCCCAACGGATGAGCAGTGGCAGCATAAAAGGGTCTCCTGACCACTGAAGCAGTTTCTAATCCCTGAATGAGAAGAACCCTGCCTGGGCCTTTTGGCTTTCCAGTTTTATTTGAAAATATCCAGAGAGGCCGAGAGTGTTGCTCTTCTAAATAATCAGGAACCACATAAGACCACAGCCCAATGGCGGCGTCCGTGGGCCCTCTTCCAGACTCCGAATGGGCAAGAAACGAGGGTCAAGTGCCAGCAAGGGAGCTTTCTGGCGTCCTTGTGACTCTAATGGGTGGGACAGTTTAAGGGCAACGATCGGCAGATTCCTCGGCCTGCGTCCCACAGCATCACCGGCCGGCAAGAATGACCAGAATCCAAGGGGGGGGGGGAATTGGCCAAGTCATACCCAGGATGGGGGCCTGAATCGGTTTTCAAGTTGCCAGGCTGATTGTCGTGAGGCAGGGAAGGGTCACGGGGTGAATCAAAAGGGAGCTCTTGACACATTGGGAGACCCCTCCCCATTTCATTGCCGGCCCCTCCTCGGTCTCCCTAAACTCTCAGCTGGGCTATATTTGGACACAAGCAAATGTTTTTCCAGCCGAGGGTGAGCTCTGCCTTCAGAAACAGCTCCTGCGACCGTTCACACCTACTGAACTACACAGAGGCTGCAAAAACATATGGCGTGCTCCCTTCGTCACTTCGAAACAAGATGGGTGGCAAGTGAATTGAAGAAATAAATGTCATACTCGGGAATCTAAGTTGTACGCCGTCTTCTTCAAATCTTGCAAAGCCCTCTGCATGAATTCGAAGGCATGGCAGTCCACGCACGGGCGACCTGGAAGGGGATTTCAACAGGGACACTTCAAGAACATGAAATATTACAGGAACGCAGGCAAGCGTCTACGGCAAGCACAGGAAGTCAGTCCATCGGCTTTCGAGGGGACGGTATTGTACCCATCTCTCAATCAGAAGAAGGTGGAATGAGGCTCCAGCCTTTGTTCTGACAAGAAGGCCATGTTTTCTTCTAAAGGAAGGAAGGAAGGAAGGAAGGAAGGAAGGAAGGAAGGAAGGAAGGAAGGAAGGAAGGAAGGAGAGGGAGGGAGGGAGGGAGGGAGGAAAATGGAGGGAGGGAGAGGGGAAGGAAGGAAGGAGGGAGGGATGGAGGAAGGAAGAGAGGGACTTTTCCAATCCTTTTTCTGCACCCAGGAAAGTTGGAGATCAGAAGAGATGAGGCAGAAAAAGGCTTTGGAAAGAGTGTATGAACTCATCCCTGGACCACAATTTCCCCATCTTTATGTTATGGTTCACTTTCATTCTCCAAAGGGTTAAGACCCCCCTCAAAAAGGCTGGAGAGGCTCAGGAGAGACCCCTTGGTTGGAACTTGCAATTGGCAGCTAGGGCCACATTGCCAGAAGCAGCACCAATGCAGTTCTCTTTAATTTCTCTGTCCGTACAGTGGCCAAAAGCTGTTTCTCCCAAATTCTGGAAAGAGTCTTTGTCTTAGCATGTGAAAAGAACTACAGTATCTTTGGTAGAATTTTTGTTTTAAAAGTTCCCATAAAACATCACAATCAAAGCTAAAGAATAAAACATGTAAACATATTTCTGCAAAGTTAAATATTACAGCCATTTGGAGACAAATACTATCAAAAAGAGGGAAAGCTATACAATGCCTGGACAAGACCAGAATAAGCAGGCATTTTTACTGGACAGAAAAGCCTAAAAAAGTTAGCTTTTTTTGGAGGGGGGGATAAATATGGCCGGGAAAAAGAATGGGGAGATGGAGACTTACATACCTGATCCCTAATGGGAAAGGCATCTTGGTTGAATACATTTCAGTGAACAACTGCCCACAAGTTCCAACCTTTTATTATTTTATCAAGCAAGAAATTAAACAGGAATGAAAGAATGTTTTGCTACAATTTCAAACATATTATGCAACATTCTTTCTTCTACAATACCCGCTTTCCTGAGAGTCTTTCAATTTGGATTCTGAATGTGTGGCTCTGCTTTTTATGCCATAAAACTGCCTGTCAATCCACCTGAGCATGTCATCAGGAAATAATTATAGAAATAATTCACAGATGGTACAATATTTCTTTGATGGTGCATTATACTAATCAAAATATTTTTAAATTGTGCTGGAAGCGGCTCGCAATCAAATTACTGCCTCTGGTGGCAATCCATAATCATTGCATTAATTTTTATTTTTTTTAAAAAAACTATGAAGCAGAAATATTATGCCAAAGGCCTCGATCATTCTTCTTTGGCTTCCCCGAGACGTTTAAAAAGTTGTAATGAAAAAAAATTCAATGCATATATTTAATTAGCTTCCAAATTTGTAACAGCAAAACCTTGGAAGGCTAATTTACATCTTTCCTTTGATCGAGGGTGCTTAGAAGGATAGGAAGTAACGTTGGCTAAAAATTAACACAAGTAGATCCCTTGAGCTAAAGACGCTTGAACCAGGGATGGCCTCCAGTTTGAGCTTTAGTGAACACCCTTTGATGTTTCAGGAGGCAGAGTGGTCTTCCTCTAACGCGGCAATTTTACAACGTGCGGATTTCAGTTCCCAGAACTCCCGAGCCAATAAGGCTGGGGAACTCTGGGAATCAATGTCCACACACCTTAATGCTGCCGAGTTTCAGAAACACTGCTCTGTGTAGAGCACAAGTTTCCAAAGTAGCACAAGCAAGCTTTCCTTTGCTTGACTCTGATTCAGGTCTTTGACTTATAACAGTTCATTTAGTGACCATTCAAAGTTACAACGGCACTGAGGAAAGCGACTTAGGACCATTTTTCATGTTTATGACCGTTGCAGCATCCCCGTTGTCATCTGCTTGGCAACTGGCATGTACTTATGACTGTTGCAGTGTCCCAGGGTCACGTGGTCACCTTTTGTGACTTTCAGACAAGCAAAGTCATGGGGGGAAACCCAATTCTCTTCACAACTGTGTTACTAACTTAACAACTGCAATGATTGGCTTAACGACTTTGGCAAGAAAGGTCATAAAACAGGGCAAAACTCACTGAGAAACTGTTTCACTTAGTAACAGAAACTTTTGGCTCAATCCTGCTCGTAAGGCAAGGAGTAACTGTAGGAATTTGGTTGGGCCGTATTATAATGTGAACATGCTCAATTCATGCTTCCCAAAACAAACATACATGTATATACAGCATATATACTTTGTAGTTTATTAGGATACTAAACTAGCAAAACCATACTTTTAGAATGCAACTAAAAATCTTGTAGGTGTGTTAGTCCGGAGCACACACACACCAAATCACAACTATGTAGAAAAGTATGAGCCTATCCGAGAGGGACACATGCTGTTGGATATGATTTTGGGTTGAAAAGTGCCGGTTTCATCTTTTGCAGCCGAACAAAATTATATTGTGCGCAAGGTAACTGCCGTTTGTGATCCGTCTGAAGACCAAAGATTTCAGGCCCACCTGGAAGGTCTGTGTGTGCATAAATAACAACAACATGGTGGCTGCATCTGCCTGTTCAAAGCCCTTGACGCACATCGCAATGCTTACTTTCGGCAGGAATCGCTGTTCCCGATTCTTCCTCAGCCGTAGCGGCCTTCGTAGAACTCAGCCCCATCATCAGGAGTAAAGGGGCCAAAAGTATCATCTTCTTCGTGTAAACTGTGAGCATCTTGCTAGTGAAGCCTTCCTCCTTCCTGGGAGAAAATAGGAAAGGTTATGGACAACAGAGACCTTTTGAAGCACATCGTTCGGCTGAATGTGGTTTTTTTTTTCCTTCAGCAATCCACCTGAGTCAGAACTACAAAATTAAAAATTCATTATTATTATTATTATTATTATTAATCACATTTATATCCCGCCCTTCTCCTAGTGGACTCAGGGCGGCTTACAGCCAGTTTAAAACGGAATAACAATACAATATACAAATTTAAAATGTGGTTAAAATAAAATATTAATATAGGCCTTTCTTTTTTAAAATTATTTTAAAAACCAAATTTAAAATACCCCTTAGGCCAGTCCTGCCAGCTGAAATAACCATGTCTTGAGGGCGTGGCGGAAGGAGGGGAGATCCGGAATCAACCGGATCTCTGGGGGTAGTTCGTTCCAGAGGGTGGGGGCTCCGACAGAGAAGGCTCTCCCCCTGGGGGTCGCCAACCGACACTGTCTGGTTGACGGCACCCTGAGGAGACCCTCTCTGTGGGAGCGTATCGGCCGGTGAGAGGTAATCTGTGGCAGAAGGCGGTCTCATAAATCAGAAGGCGGTCTCATAAATCAATATCACATTCTTGCTATCTGACACAACTAATTAAGTTGTCACCTTTAGCTACACCTTTTCTCACGACACCTGTGCAATTGGTAGAAATAGAAGTAACAACAATAATGTTATTAAATAAAAATAAGTAGTAATGACAGAAGGAAGAAGTAATAACGCCAGGAGGTTTCTTAAAAGAAAAATGGAGAAGTGCTTTCCTTAGGACTGTAATGTCTCCTTTACACTCTCTCTACAGATATACGGATATGACTGGCAAGGGAAAGGGATAATTTCAAATTGTAACGCTCCAGGTCCTTCTAAGAGCAGCAGTGTCTCAGGAACATCCACAGTGACGTGGTCAAAAAAGTCAAGATGGCCACCGTGCCTGCAGTATCGAAGGTCTGCCTCAGTTTTATGTCTACCACATGTGAGACAAAGGGGTAGGGCTGGGAAGGTGCAGTTGCAGCTGCCTTCTTCACCTTTTCTACCCTCCATACCCTCAAGAAAGTTCCTGGCCCTTATTTATTTTCTAGTCCGTGCTGTGCAACTTCCCCCACAGAGACAAAAACCACGTCTCAACCCCAAAGCTGGTCTTGGCTCGAAAGAGACGGGGCAGAAAGCAGAACCTCTGTTGCCAAGTACTTCCGGTCAACGTCGTCATTTACGTTGATCTCTTATTTGGTTCTACAACTTTAGAATAGGCTGCAACAGTGAGCAGAGTAAAGATACCAGGGGAGTAACGATGTACATCAAGCCATCTAACCCCAGAATTTCAGCAGGATGCTGGGACATCTTATGATGTTCTCAAGATAATGTGACATCAATCCCGTAATTGCAAGCTTTTAGATATGATCAAGCAGCCGTTCTTGATCCCAGATCCCAGTAAGGAAGGGCGATTACGTAGCTGTGGGGTTTCACAGTCCTAAACCATGAAGCATTGCTATGAAGAGTCAGGATGTTTGTATGCAGCGAACTAAAGAAATGACATAAGAATGCAGGCTAAATAAGCACAGGCGGAGGGGGGGAGAAGCACTATTTCGTCTCTCAAAAGTCAATCAAAATCATGACACCTGAATAAAACATCTTTTGCCCTCAATCCCATAGCAGGTGTGTTTACCAAAGCTTCAATAAAAGCAAAACCGTTTTCTGCTGAAAAATAAAAGGTCTTAACACCCATCTTTCCATTTCCTCCATATTATCCACATGGGAAGCCTGCATTCCGATGTGGTGATCAGAATGTTTTTTTAAATCCACTTAAAACGTTTGGATCAGGTACATTTCTGCCCTTGTAGTAGATGGAGTCCCCCGTCTCCTTCGGACAGCTGCCAGGAGGAGCCTCCCTCTGGCTCAAGCGACATCAGGTCTTCTCTTTCCCCAAAGTCCTGCCTAATCCCCCCCAGCCCAGGGCGATTGCTCGGAACGGCCTCTGGTCCAGAAAGGGGCTGGAGAAATCACCTGCTCTCCGCCCAGGGTCTGGTGGCTGCTGTGTGGGGTGCAAACCGTGCACCCCAGTCGAGCAGACGACCAGTGGCCGTAACGCAGGGCACGGCCTCTTTGCATCTAGATCGTCCCTCAGGGGATTCCAACAAAGTAAAGATAGAAATACCTGCTCTCTCTCTCTCCCTTGTCTTTGCAGTGGCTGCTTTGAATGGCTGCCGCGGCTGGCTAGCGCAAGATGTGCGGTGCTGCCTCCGAGCAGGCGCACAGCTGCTCTTTCTCCTTTCTCAAAGGATCTGCCATGGCAACCGTGCCGAGCCCCAGACTCACGAAACAATGGCCTTGCTTTCCCCATTGTGGCATGAAAGGCACAGCTTTTAGGACGTCCCCAAGTCTTTTAGCGCACAGCATGAAAATAAAATTGTGGCAAGGGAAACATGAACATGTGCATGATACATACACCTCTGCGAGGGATCACTTCTTCAGATGCAAAGGAAATTGAGTATTGTTACTGATGGGGAAAGGAAGACATGAGGAGTTATCTATAGCTCACATTGGAAATTAGATTAGTTCAGTGAGAGACATTCTTGGCCTGATTAAAATGTCACATGACGTGATAAGTATCCTTTTTTAAACTCCATTACAGCTCCAACTAAATTCCAATTCACCTGTTTTTCAGTGAAATTGTCGTAAGATATCCTTTTCAAAACAATAGCCACTCGATGACAGAATGGCTGGAGGAGTCTAAAAGTTCTCACTGTGGGTTTTGGACCTACAAATTCTGATTTTTTTTATTCTTTTGAATGTGGTTTCCCCAACATGAAGAGGCAGATAAGGACAAGCAAGCAGGCATGTATGCTTCACTCCTGCAGATGAGGTCATGCAATCACATTGCCACAATAGATACGGGGCCAGAATTAGCATCCGGACTTGCTGCATTTGAAGGCTTGAACTGGTCCAGAATCCAGCACTGCGGGCAGCGATGGGCATGCTTTGTTAGGCCCGTGTCTGCTCTTCAAGCTGCGCTGGCTGCCAGATTCCTGGCTTAATTCAAGGTGCTGATTATTACCCATAAAACCCTATATTAGTGATGGCGAACCTTTTAGAGACTGAGTGCCCAAACTGCAACCCAAAACCCACTTAAGCATTAGTCGGGTGCCAGGTGGGTGTGGCCAATTGGTTGGGCGTGGCTGTGGTGGTAAGGGCAGACTGGGTGGGACTAAAAAGTTCAATCAATCAATTCCAATTTTGTAAGATCTTTTTTTTCCTGCGAGAAGTTGAAATTGACTGATTGATTGAACCTTTTTTTTTTTGCACACGGCGGCGGAGGCCTAAAGCGAAAAGGTTTTATAAAACACAGCTGAAGGCCCAGGACTGGGGCGACGGCGCGCGTGCCCACAGAGAGGCCTCTGAGTGCCGCCTCTGGCACCCGTGCCATAGGTTCGCCACCACTGCCCTATATGGCATGGGGCCTGGTTAGTTGAGGACTGCCTATTTCCCATAGTAGCTGCCTAACTATTTTGATCTGGCAAGGTTGGCATGTCTGGGTTCCTTCAAATGAGCGTCATCTTTCAATAAGACCCCAGAAACACCCCTTCCCTTCGGCACCACCTGCCCTCTGGAACCAGCCCCCCCAGAGATGGGTCTCCCTCTCTCTCTCTGTGCTATGTACTCTGGAGAGCTTGACAACCTGGCTCTTCCCCCGGGCCTTTGACAAGGTTGATGGAGGGCCCCTTCTGGTACTGTGGGTTGTTAGCTTAGCTTGGTGTCTGGTTTGTGTCATCTTTTATTCTTTGTTTTAATCACTAGATAGGTAGTCCCTGACTTATGATCACAGTTGAGCCCAAAATTTCTGTTGTTGAGACAGTTGCTAAGCGGGTTTTGCCCCACGTTACAACCTTTCTTGCTACAGTTGCTAAGTGAATCACTGCAGTTGATAAGTTACTAATCTAGTTGTTAAGTGGATCTGGCTTCCCCAGTGACTTTGTTCGTCAGAAGGTTGCAAAAGGGGATCACGTGACCCCCAGGGACACTGCAACCGTCATAAATACGGGTCAGATGCCAAGCATCCGGATTTTGATCACGTGACCACGGGGATGCTGCAAAGGTCATAACTATGATAAACTGTTGTGACGTTTTTCAGTGCCGTTGTAACTTTGAACGGCCACTAAACGAACTGTCACTAAGCGGAGGACCACCTGTGTGATTTTATTCTTCTGCGGATTTTTCAATCACCCGATTGCCGGAAGTCAGGAAGTGTGACAGATTCAGACTGCACCATCCCATGATAGTTTTTGTAAACATGGCTGGCTGGGGAACCCCCCCATCTAATCCCCGATTCCTGCTGTTTTCCTGCTCCCAACTCCTCCTTCCTCTCCTTCCTCCCAGGATGATGATGATGAGGAGGAGGGCGGTGATGGCGGTGCTTCCACAGGCCTTCACCCCAAAGGGGGCCGTGGCTGGCCTTGGGGAGACTTCGCTGGCTGCTTCCCTTCTCCTGGGCGCTCTCCTCCTGCCGGCCGGCCTGCCCTCAGAGAAGCGAGGCACAGCCGCCAGGGTGGCAGGCCAGGCCCAGAAGCGACGCCATTTCCCTCCAGAGTCCAGTGTTTCTCAACGTTGACAACTTTAAGGCATGTGGACTTCAACTCCCAGAATTCCACAGCCAGCAATGCTGGCTGTGGAATTCTGGGAGTTGAAGTCCACATGCCTTAAAGTTGTCAAGGTTGAGAAACACTGCTCCAGACAGACACACGGCGAATAAACGACCCTCCCGCCTCCACGTTCCCCAGCTCAGTCCTTCCGCGAACCCGCCTCTTCTGCATCCCCTCAGGAGCCGCTTTGGCCGAGCAGCGGCCGCTGAGGAGAAGACGGACGTAAGCGGGGCCCGCCATCTTGACGTACGGCAAACGCGCGCGCGACGCCTTCCCCCCTCCCTCCCCTCCGCGGCCATTTCCCGCCGGCCCTCCCGCGCGCCGCCATCTTGCGTTACGGACGGCGGCGCGGAGGGAGGGAGGCTGGGAGGGAGGCGTCCTCCCCTGGAGGGCCGGGTCCTCGCTCGCTCTTTTAGGTGTCTTCGTGAAATGCCGGCCGCGCGCCTCGGCTGGGCCCCAAGATGGCGTCGATGCGGGAGAGCGACACCGGCCTGTGGCTGCACAACAAGCTGGGCTCGGCCGACGAGCTGTGGGCGCCGCCGAGCATCGCCTCGCTGCTCACCGCCTCGGTCATCGACAACATCCGCCTCTGCTTCCACGGCCTCTCCTCGCCCGTCAAGCTNGGGGGGGGCAGATTCAGCCCAGCCTTCCCGGTTGGGCGGCGGCCTGGCCCCGGCCCCTCCGCTTTTGGGGTCCGGGGCGGAGGATGTACGCCAGGAGTCCTCGGCTTACGACCGTCCGCTTAGTGACCGTTGGAAGTGGCGCCGGCGCCGACCGGAGGGCCCGGGGACCGTTGCCCACCCTTAACGGCCGCGGCGGCGGCGCGCGTGACGGTCACGTGATCCAAGGCCCAGGCCCCCTTGGCCACCGGCCCGTGTTTGTGAGGAGGGTCGCAGCGTCCCCCGGGGGGGGGTGTCTCTCCCTCTCCCCTCTTGGCGACCTTCTGACCAGCCAAGTCACGGGGGGAGCCTGATACTCTGAACAACCCGGTTATTAACCGCAGCGATTCGCATAACGACCCTGGCAAGAAAGGTCAGGCGGTGGGGCAAAGTTCACCCAACTGCCTCGCTTAGCGACAGAAAGTTTGGGCTCGGTTGTGGTCGTAAGTCGAGGACTGCCCATATAAATACCCTCGGTTTGTGGGATGATTCGCTCTGCGGAGGAGGAAGCTTTGAGCAGGATACCTGCAGGTGGTGGTGGTGCCTATTTCCCTTGATTTTGGAGAAGCTCCTGAAGGCTGGACCCCAGGGCCTCGTAGAGGGGAGGCCACTAGGAAATGCCCAAGGGCTGAACGGTTAGACCGGGATGCTGAGAAATCACCGCAGGAGAAGAGGACGCCGACGGATAAAGTTGCACGGGCTCAGAAAAGGTGCTGGCAAAACTTTTGTATCTTGGTGCGGCTCCGGTAGCACCTTCTGAACTCGAATGAGTATCTTCCTGTCTCTGCGCTCTGTTCTGTGACCGCCACAAAAAGAAATCCCTCTGTCGGGCTGCTACAGACGGGGTGCCGATGCCGGCCCATGGGACCTCTCGGAGACCTCTGAGGGCTGCGATCCATCCGGCTGGCTCAGTGCTGGGAATTGCAAGGACTCGGCGGAGGAGAGGCCGGATCCTGGCAGGACGTCCATTCCCTAGATGGGGCAGCAGCTTCAGAGAGCAAAACCAAGGAGACCCGCTGTATTCCTCCAGCAGCCCAAAAGATGTCGGTGCCCCCGATTAGAACCCCCCCCCCCCGTGGCTGGGCTACTTGGAGTGGCCTCTGGAGACACCCGGGCTCACGTTTATGAAGGTTGCCGTGTCTGGTGTGTGTGTGTGTGTGTGTCACGTGATCCGCTTTTGTGACCTGGCAAGCAAAGTCAATGGGGGAAGCCAGATTCACTTAACTGCGTGGCTAACAGCTGCAGTGATTCACTCAACAAGTGTGGCAGGAAAGGTCGTAAAATGGGGCAAAATTCACTTCACAAATGTCTCACTTAGCAACAGTAATTTTGGGGCTCTGTTGTGGTTGTAAGTCGAGGACTGCCTGTACCGGAGTGTCACCAGTCCCGCTTGCCTCTCTGCCTCGCCCTCTTTTGAACCGGTGCTGGGCTGGCCTTCTAGCAGCAGCCCCACCTGGGCTCCCTCAGCTGTGGCTATGGACTGGATTCCTGGTTAGCTGCACCCGGGTGGCAGGACGATATCGCTTCTTTGTGTATTTCCACGCATGTGTGAGTCTGCCAAAAACAGCGTTCCTCCTGCCTTTGGCTTTGCCGGCCACAGGTGCACCAGCTGCAACTTGTTCCTTTGTGTTGACTCAGCCTGGAACAAGACGGCCAGATAAATTCCGCGCACCTCTGCTGGCAAACCACTTTGGCACTGTTGGCACAGAAGTGATAGGGATACACCTGGGTGGTCCTACAGCCCTTCACCTTTACTTTGCCTTCCAGAAAAACCATTTGTTAGCAATCCATCTTGTCTACTTCTTTCTCCTGTTTCAGCATCCATCCCTGCCTTGGTCCTTAGGCAGATTAATAAGACCTCCCCAGGCTTAAAACTGACTCCTTAAAATCATTTGCCTTTGTATTTGTTGGCTTCACAGCCCCCATATCTTCAGTCTTCGTGATAATTGATGTGCTGGTTGGGGAAAATGAGGGTAGTTATCTGCAGTATTGCTCTTGATGGGGCCTGGGTTAGGGGAGGCTAGTCTAGATGCCCTTGAGACACTTGCTGGAGGGAGTATGTGCCTGGGAGTTCTGTTGTAGCCTCCAGTGTTTATCATCCGGAATTCCATAGAGGGAATGTAGAATATAAACATGGCACCTTCAGCTAAGTGACTCTTGAAAAAAATATTGAGAATACCTTGTTTCTTTCCTACCTAATGAGTTGTAGATCAGTAGATGCACTTTGTGTCCAACTTTTCTGGCACAAACCTGGCCTGGAAACCATCATCCCAGGGAACCAAACTTTCTGAACTCAGACTTGTAAGTTTTACTAGCGGAAAGATCAAAGATAGAGTTCCAGTGAGTGCTTTCTTTTCCAAATGGAAAACTTAACAGGTAGGCAAATGAAGGCAGTTCCGTCCTCGTGATCTGAAGGAGCTGTGGAGCTGCTCTTCTGACTTTGGGGAAAGGCTGTTAGGCTTGAATGAGCAGAATTGTGTGACTTTTCCCCAGGAAAGTTGTTTGCTGAGCACATGGTGTGAGTAGCAGGAGGGGCTTTACGCAACGGCAGCTGATTCATCCAGTGCACAAGCCACATTCCCAAGCTCGCTCAGACTGCATTCTTTGGCAAAAGGCCGGGCAGGGAGGGAAAAGGAGAGCCAAGAGGCGTGGAGTGAGGGTTTAGCAGAAGGAGGAGCAAACCATCCTCACGCCCTGCTAGGGGTAGGAACCCCAAGGTAGACGTGTATTGTATATTTTCTCCCTTGGAATTATGCTTTTTACATGCGTTACGCTTGAACTCTTGTCTCCCTCGCTGACGGATCAGGGGAAAGACTGCAAGCCAGTTTCTAAGACTGCAGACTAGTGCTCATTAAAGAAAGTGACGGTAGGGAGGTCTCCTGGGAAGGCAGGGCGTCGGCTGTTGTCCGGGAGTGTGGGAAGACCCCAAGAAGGATAAAGGTATCCCCCTAAGAGTAGCAGATACTTAGAGGAACTTGAAGTTGAAGTTTGGGCCTCTTAAAGTTGCCAAGGTTGAGACACGTTGGGCTAGAAACTGTGGCACTCCCAGAAATGTAACCGACAGTATGGATCCGTTATGTAGGGGACACCTTCACCATAATAAAAAGGGAACAAGTGGAGGTGACACGTGAAGCAACAACGTCTTCAGAGGAATAACATTCACAAGGAAAGAAGAAAGCAACACCTGGATATCTTCATGACCAGAAATTAGAAACAGCAAATTAGAAATGGAAACCTATTTTTAAAAAAGCCCACTAACCAAGTGCTCCAATGCCAGAGGAACACCCCAGCCTCCCTCCGCAGGTGCTGGCTAAGAACATTATTCAGATGGGTTCAGAGGCATTGCAGCAACCCAGAGCCCCAGAAAAATGGAAAAGGCGCCTATACAACATCTTCCCACAAAATGGACAGGCAGCTTTATCACAAAATGCCATTCCACCCACTGCAGCGTAACCAGCACAGGCGGTGAAAAGGATAAGGCTATCCTACGTCAGAAGGATTTCAGGGACGACCAAGAGACCCTGTGGGAACCCCACGGCGTTGCCCTGGCACACAGATCGGTTGAAGCCCTCCAAGGTATCTTAAGTAAACCGGAAGAGGCCCTGGCCCAAGGAGAAGCACATAGTCACCTACTACACAAGGGCGCTGTGCAGGACGGGCAGGCAGAAGATGGGCAGGGCCCATCCACAAATATCAACCAGCAGTCAGAAGGCGTGATGGAAACTCCTTAATGGCACAACACGCGGACAGGCCTCACCATAGTTTCAACCGGGAGACCGACGGTGAGCATCCTAGAGCAGGGGTAGGCAAGCTCGGCTCTTTTATGACTCATGGACTTCAACTCCCAGAATTCCTGAGTCAGCATAGCTGGCTCAGGAATTCTGGGAGTTGAAGTCCATGAGTCATAAAAGAGCCGAGGTTGCCTACCCCTGTCCTAGACCAAGCCAAGTCCAAAAAGCCAGAGGATTCCTGGAAGCCTGGCACTCGGACGCATCACCATCAATGGGCACGTACAGATAAACCACGTTTATGTACTATTCAAAATAGCCAATTAAAAAAGCAACCACTAAGGAACATAAAAACCGGAATACTCCCTCGCCAGCAGCCAGATAAGCAGGGATTGACACCAGACAGGCAACCAAGTAGAAAACAATATCCTAATCGAGGAACTGCCAAGGAGAAAGGCCCACGCTCACCGACACTGGCAGAGCCAAGCTACCCAGGACCAGACCCCGCAGTCGGTCTCACTGATGATGTTACCTAGTTGGGTGATGAAATGTATTCTGATAGTGTCTCCCATGATGTATCACTCCCATTTTATCAGAATATAAGCTGGGCTCCTTCAGGGGGTCCTCACTATAACCCACTCCAGAGGTGGCATGTGCTGCATGTCTTTGAATTAGAAGGCCCAGAATTTCTGACCAGCCTGCTTCAATCTCGCCCGCAGGGCGTCCTAATAACCTAATTCCCTCCGTGATTAGGTCAGCTCCGGATCTGCCGGTCTTTTGCGAGGCCCTGAAAACTTGGGTTTCTGCCAGGCCACGGAAGGGTGACGCAGCCCGCCTCTTGGCTTTGTTGATGATTATTTTATGATGCTCAACAGCTGCACACAGTTTTATATTGTGTGTACTACTTGTTTTTTATATCTTTTATTGAAAGCTGCCCAGAGTCGTGTACAGTATGAGACGCTTTATGTATCGGATAAATGAAATTATAGACTAATCATATTTTGTTGGCAGCCAATATTGTGAAGCTTAGAACCTTGAAACCAAATTGGGAGAGGCTGTATATTCATCGCATATTCAAATTGTGTGAATGGTTTCTTAACGTAGTAACTAAAATTCAGGAGTCCCAAAGGTGCTTTTTCAAAAGGCAAGTGGACTTTGTTTTTTTCCCTTTGAAAACATTTCGTTTCTCAGAACTGAAGAACTGAATAGAACTGAAGAAGCTTCTTGGATGAGAAGCGAAATGTTTTCAAGGAAAAACCCAAGAAAGTCCAGTTGCCTTTTGGAAAAGCGTCTTTGGGACAACCGTGATGTGGATAATGGAGAATCTCCATAGACGTTTAAAATTCTGGAGCAACAAATTTTTTTCTGCAAATTGTGGGAAATGGGAAGGAAATCACTGAATAATCTTAATTGCAACGGCAAACTGGAAAATAATTATCCATTACACTACAATTATATAAACTTACTGATTACGCCATGCTGCACAGTAAATAAAGAAGAACATCTTCCTTTTCAAATTATTATTTGAATGATAATTATTCAAATTATTCATTGTAAAAGACAGTAATGTTATTTTCGTACTTCCTGTTAAGTGTTCATTGTCACCTCTAGCCAAATAACAAGCTATTTGTAGAGTTTTGTGTGAAGGCTCCCCCAAATTCTGTATTGTTTATGTTTAAAAAGAGATTCGGCTCAGATACAAATTTCATTGTGATGGGGTGGGTTTTATTTCCAACTACTCAACCGCCTCTGTCCTAGGACATGAGGTTGGATTGCTCTAAGAGTAGAAATTGAAATATTGTGTTCTTTACTTTTCTGTGGGATTGTAAAATATTCTAGAATGAACTCTGTTCTCAACCGGACCTTGTTTACATTTTCCTTCTTGGTGTTGTGACATTATTGTCAACTGTATTGGTAGCCAAAGTGGAGAAAGCACACAAACTGATTCACCTTCAGTTGTTTTGGGAAAAGCAGCTTTTTAATTTGTGCCTTGGCAGTTGCTTCATTCTCCGTTCAAAAAAAAAAGAAAAAGATAGTTTTGATTACCATGGTAGATCCCTCTGCTGCTTTCTCCAAAATATGTACTGGAAGATAAACGATAACTTGGGAGAGATAAAGGAAGAGGAGGAAGACAGTTAAAGAATAAAACTTGTTTGAAAGGATAGATTAAACCAGGGGTAGGCTGGCTCAGGAATTCTGGGAGTTGAAGTCCACAAGTCATAAAAGAGCCAAGGTTGCCTACCCCTGGATTAAGTAGATGCTGAATATGTATTTATCCGTATGAATTGGGAAAAATCAACAAAATAAGGGAATAAAAACGATGTTTGGCAGGTAGCTAAACCTAATAATTATTACACCCTAACAAGCATTTGTCCAGGAGGAGCAGATCTCTCCCAAGGATTTGGATCACTTCCATCTCCTTGATTTGCCTCCGTCGAGAGTTGGACGAAGGCCCGCTGATCCTCCTCTCTTGAGATGGATTTTCTTATCTGCCAAAACAGGCCAGCTATAAAAAGCTACTTTTCATTTTCATGAATTGCAGTGGTGAAGCTAATGAGGGACTGCCCCACGGTGGTTTTCAGATGTTTCATATCTCATGTGATCCTGTTCTGTTGATCTGGGAAACTTGCAGGTGGCGGTTTCCACCAGCTGCAAGTTATAATGTCTGTCCTTTAAGCGACTATACGCTGGCTCTTCTGGCCCTCCCACAGCCTTCGCATCGCATTTGATGGCAGATAGATAAAGAGCACCATTCACTAAAAAAAATCTCTCAGATCCAGTTCTTGGATCGCTAGGATCTTGGATCCAAGATCCAAGACAGGTAGGCAACCTTGGCTCTTCTATGACTCGTGGACTTCAACTCCCAGAATTCCTGAGCCAGCCACGCTGACGGGAAAGGGAGAGGTTTCCAAGCTGAGCCATGCTGGCTGAGGAATTCTGGGAGTTGAAGTCCACGAGTTATAAAAGAGCCAAGGTTGCCTACCCCTGGTCCAGGATCTTGGATCAACCATGAAAGACGTGCCTGGTTAGGGCTGTGGAGTCCTGCAACCAGACAGAAAGGACTCAAAGTGGTTTCATGGATTTTATGCAGCCTCCTGGGTTCATCACTTCGAACGCAGACGGCAGCTCCGTTATAAAGCTGTTTTTCAATATGACTAACAGGTTAAAAACGTTGGTGATCCTGTCAGAGAGAAGCTTCATTGGGGCGCAGGTGCTTCTGCTGTGTCCACAGCGTGGAGGCTGAGGACAGGGTGGAGCTAGGGGTGGTGGTGGAGGGGTTGGATGAAAAGCCCAGCCCTGCCGCTCGGTTTCTGCACGGTCTTGTTTATAACCCATTGGGGGACTGAGATCAAGGTCTGTTCTGCAGAGGTTCAGAAACACAGTTCTGATTTAGTTTGAACGTTCCACTCTTAATTTTTTCCTCCTCCTCCTCTGTCTCGCTAGATGAAAGGTGCCCTGACTGAAATTATCCAGCTGGCTACGTTGGATCCAGACCCCTGGGTCTTAATGGTGGCGGATATCTTAAAATCCTTTCCGGATATTGGCTCCCTTAACCTTGACCTGGAAGAGCAGAACCCCAATGTTCAGGATATCTTAGGAGAACTGCGAGAAAAAGGTAAGCCTCTCCCTCTTTACACAAACCGCGGCTTTGGGGCGGAATTTCTATGGACTGTTAACCAAAGCTAAAACACAGAGTTTATCATTTACAAATAGTTTTGGAACGGACTGGGTTTGTTCAACAGTGTGTAAAGCAGCAGAAGCAGGCAGCCTCTGATCTCTGGCTGATTCCCTCAGCTGCCCGAAGGGTCCACTGTGCATTAGGCTGCCTCCCTCCGGCGCTGCGATGGAGGAGGCAGCTTCAGGGGGGCTTCAGGAACAGGCCCTCCGGCTCAGAAAGCTGCTCTCCCAGCACGGCTCTCCACGGCAGACCTTGTCTCCCACTGGGACAAACGGCTTCCCCCAGTCCAGCAGTCTTCCCCAGCGGCCTCTGGAGCAATGGACGGAGGGGATGCCAGAGAGCCAGTTTGGAACGAGGAAGTGAGTAAGCAGCAGGCTGGCAGACCCTCCCGTAGCAGGGCCCGTGCCCGGAATTTATTGTGCCGAATGTGCGCAAGAATTGCTCGAGAGGAAGGGGAACGCGTTTCTCCCGCTTAGGATCAGATGACACACAAAGGAGTGCAGAGGGGAGGATGCGCATTGTGGCCGGGTGCCACGTACCGTCTAGCCCAGTGTTTGTCAACCTTGACAATTTTAAGGCATGTGGACTTCAACTCCCAGAATTCCACAGCCAGCATTGCTGGCTGTGGAATTCTGGGAGTTGAAGTCCACATGCCTTAAAATTGTCAAGGTTGACAAACACTGGGCTAGCCGTAAAGGTTTGCCAATGTCGGGTTCAGAAAGTCCTGTGAACACACGGCATGCCCCTCCAGAGAGGGGGAGGGGAGGCTCCTGTGGCTCTGCTAGAACAGGCAGAATCAGACACACACACACACACACACACACACACACACACACAACACACACACACAGGCCCTGCAGAGGCTTCGGTGGATTTCCTTGGGAATAAAGCTGCTCATGAGGAAGCAGGGAGGGCCGTCACTTCCACCCAGACCTGGGCTAAGTGTATTCAGAAGGGGATGTCAAAGGAGGGTGGCCCCTGCTGTCCACTCCCTCTCCGGGGAGGCTCCGGGGCCCGGTCTCCTGTAACAGTCACCTCTGGGGGCCCCGCCACACCTCCCCCTCCCCATCTCCTGCTCCATGGGAGCCCAGCCTTTCTGTTTCTGGAGTCCAATTCTAACCGCTTTCCTCCTCCAGCCCCTCGCCAGGTATGCCTTCCCCCGGCACGCCCACAATAGGCCGGGCGCTTCTGCGGCAGCCCTCGAGCCCGGCCTTCCCCTACAGCGGGCCCAGGCCGGCCCGCCAGCCCTGGGCAACCGGTCAGTCCCTCTCGCCCACTGAAAACCGGCCCCTTGGCAATCCCCACCCGATGCAGCCTGCCCACTCACCCACCCACCCACCTCCAAACCTTCTCTCAGGTCCTTCAGGCATCTCCCACCATGCATCAAACACCCCCCCCCCCAGTTGTTTTACGAGGGAGAGTCTTCCTGCTTTGCAGACTCCTCTCTGTTGCTGTCCGCCTTCCGGAGAGATTCTCCCATCCTCCCCACACCGGCTCTTCTTCTCCCTTTGATGCTGGGGGAAAAACTCCTCTGATTGACAAACTCTTTGTGTTTTCCTACCTAGTGAGCGATTGTGAGTCCTCCGCCATGTTGCCTTTGGAGTGCCAGTACTTGAACAAGAACGCCTTGACCACGCTGGCCGGCCCCTTCACGCCCCCCGTGAAGCACTTCCAGCTGAAGCGGAAGCCCAAGAGCGCCACGCTCCGAGCGGAGCTCCTGCAGAAGTGTAAGTGGCTCAGGCCCCCCCTGGGGGGGAGGGGGGAGAAGAGTGGCAAGGTCTCGAACCACAGCCGGTCCCCCCACCTTACAACGGTTCGTTTAGTGGCCGTTCGAAGTCACAGTGGAATTAAGAAAAAGTGACTTAGGACCGCGTTTCACACTTAACGACCGTTGCGGCATCCCCGTGGTCATGTGATCAAAATGCAAACGCTTGGCAGCTGACTCGTATTTATGACGGTTGCAGCGTCCCGAGGTCAGGTGATCCCCCTTTTTGGGACCTTCTGACGAGCAAAGTCCGCGGGGGAAGCCGGATTCCTTAACCAACCGTGTCACCTGTAGGAATTTTTTATTTGTTTTACAAAACTTCACATAAGTAAAGAAATTCTCCCTCGTTTGCATCTGGCCGTCCTAGAAAGTAGTGTGTTGCGTTGTGTTCTGCTGTGTTTGTTGTGTTGTGTGATGTTATGTTAAGTGTAAAAAAAACCCTTAATGTGAAAAAAAGTTAGTGTCTGAGGTTATCTTCCTTTTGGATAGACGGGGGTAGGCAACCTTGGCTCTTTTATGACTGGTGGACTTCAACTCCCAGAATTCCTCAGCCAGCATGGCTCAGCTTGGAAACTTCTCCCTTTCCCCTCAGCATGGCTGGCTCAGGAATTCTGGGAGTTGAAGTCCACGAGTCATAAAAGAGCCAAGGTTGCCTACCCCTGCCCTATACTATATATACCCTATACCAGGGGTAGGCAACCTTGGCCCCTTCATGACTGGTGGACTTCAACTCCCAGAATTCCTGAGCCAGCATGAGGGAAACTTTGGCCCCTTCATGACTCCTGGACTTCAACTCCCAGAATTCCTGAGCCAGCATGGCTCAGCTTGGAAACCTCTCCCTTTCCCCTCAGCATGGCTGGCTCAGGAATTCTGGGAGTTGAAGTCCACCAGTCATAAAAGAGCCAAGGTTGCCTACCCCTGGGATAGACTCGAGTTTAATACTGCATTAAAAGCTTTCTTTAAAATTAGTGTGTGACCTTTTTTTTTCTTTTAAAGTTGGATACTAAATAGGTTTATGTTATTTATTTATTTTTAGCGGCAGAAACTGCGCAACAGCTGAAGAAGACTGCTGGAGTAGCTTTTCACGCCAAAGGGAGAGGATTGGTTAAGAAAATTGACACAACAAGTAGGTTTTCATTTTTCTCTCCTTTTATGTGTCAGGGCTTTTCAACCAGTGGTACGGGTACCACCTGTGGTACATGGGCACCTGGCAGGTGGTACGCAACCATCTTAGAAAAGTGGTAGCAGGGGAGGGGAATGAGCTGAACTGGTGGCAGCATCGCAAAAGCCTGAGCGAGAGACGGCTGGAGCTGCAGGGCTGTCAGGGCTCAGTGGAAGCACCAGGATCAGCACTAGGATCCAGCTGGAAAGCAGCACTGATCCTGGTGCTTCTGCTGAGCCCTGAAGAAGCGCCAATCAGCTGGAATGTTGCAGCCTCTCCAGGGTCTTGTGATTTACATTCAGATGCTTGGCAACGGATTCATATTTATGACGGTCACAGTGTCCCAGGGTCTTGTGAAGTGACCAAACCCTGCTGCAACCACCCAGCAGACGGGGGGAACAAAAACCAAACACCCCTCACCCCACCCCCGCTGCCAATCCTCAACAGAAATGCTCACAACAATGAAAACCTCGGACAGGAGGAAGAGGGCGGCCGGGTGGGCAGGCAGGTGTCTTGCTCGGCTGTGGCTTGGGGGGCACTTGTAACTTCGAACAGTCACTAAGCGAATTGTTGTAAGTTGAGGACTACCTGTACTTTATCACTTTTTTCCTTTCTTTTTTTTGGGGGGGGGTCCACCAAGTTTTTGACCCCTTGCTAGGCGACTGGTGGTACTCGGATGTGGCCATATCCTAAAAGTGGTACAATGGGGGAAAAAGTTGAAAAGCCCTGGACTAGCAGACTTCAGGAGGCAGCCAGCCTAAGACCGAGGGTGGTGGTCACAATGGCTTCTCCTTACCAGAATTGATACCTGGAGGTCAATGTTGGGGGGGGGGGGTTGCTGCAAGAGGAAGAAGCCCCTGGCAGGAAGTTCTTTTAAGATGGCCTCTCCGTTGGACATTAATGCAAGCACGTTGGAAGAGACGAGCGCTCCACATACCGGGACGTTCCTCCACGTTCATGCAGCAAGAGGCTTCCTGGTGGCACGTCGAGTTGACATCCGAGGCCTCCGGAGGCTCCGGTTCTGCAGCCCTTCTGTCCAGATGTTGCCTTTGACTCACAGGCTCCTCTTGGCAGCCTCCGAGGATCTGCTGAGGGTCTGTGACCGTTTGAGGGAATCTAACGTCAGAGACGCGGGAAGCGCATCCGGAACTTCCCATACATTTCCTGACAACCTTTTGTTTTTGCTTTGAGTCTTCAAAACGATGGCTCAAAAAGCAT